TAAATACTTGTACCTTCTTGATGATGGTTGTGGTTGTTCTCTACGTTTCAGATCCGTACTATAGAACTAACTGTGTTGACGTTCTTATTAGAGTGGAATCTAGGAATAGCTTTTTGTCCTATTTGGGACTCATCAGCTAGATGTACTTGCCTCTCAGAGTTGATATTTACTCTGAGACAATACCAAGTGAATTTAAACTTCATCCCATTGTACAAACACATGACTATCAAAACCCAATAGCTAAAGTAGATAACACAATAGCATTTGAAGCGAACACTACTATATTCGAGCCCTTGGAATGAATATCAACTCTAAGATGTGACATGTACATTCAACTAACAAATCGCAAATAAGATGAAATGTATGTCTTCGATTCTACTACTACTACTACTACTAACTACTATCCATTTTTTGCTTTAGAATGCTTACAACTTAAGACAAGCCAATCAAACCAATCCTAATACAGTATATACACATACCAATAAGGAGCAAACGGTACTGTGTTCGAGCCCCAGAATGTACATCAACTATGAGATGCAGGTACATCCAGCTAACGAGTCTCAAATAGGACGAAACGTGCGTCAAACTGGATTCCACTGCTAGCCACTATCTATCATTGCTTACAAATAGCTTGTGAATTAAGGCAATATCGAGGCATACGCACAGTATGCACATATGCCAATAAGAGACTGATCAATTTCAGTTTTAAAACATCAATGGTAAGATTCAAGTAAAACAATATCAAGTGATCAATGATAGTTCAATTCTTTCTACTATTCACTTTCTATAAATAATACATTTTAATTTTCAGAATGGGTTTTGTAGAGTTTTTTAGAAATTTCACAAGTTGAAATCATGAGTCGATTGAAGCTGGTGGTATGGGATCGTGGATGTGCACTGTTGAAGAGTCCCATACTAAGACAAAACGGCCGTTCAGTGCTTCCAGGTTTTCCATGGTGGTCTAGCTTCAATCGACTCATGATTTCAACCTGTGAAACAATTTAATTTATTTTCTTCTAGAGAAATAAATTAATAATAAATGAGCATAAAACATACTTTAATCGGTAAAATAAACTGTCAATAATTTACATATTTTTTTTAATTTTCATCTATTTCATGACCTTTACAATAGAAAGAGAAAGGGAAAGGGAGAGAGAGAGAGAGAGAACGAGAACGAGAACGAGAGAGAGAGAGGGTGAAGGGGATGGCAAGAGAGCGATAGAGAGAGAGAGAGAGAGAAGGTGAGAGGTGTACCGATTCAAAATTTCAGCTAATTTTTTGATTATCAATCATTTACATTTTCATTGATTCATTTCATTCACTTATTTACCATGAGATGTGAACATATCATTGGGTGTGGTCAACTCATTCCTTTTCCCTTATTCATTTCATTTCTTTCAAAGACAACAACAAATATAGAACAGAAAGGACATAAGAGGAAGAAGAAGAAGAAGAAGAAGTTATTCTCATCTACCTAGTAGTAATCATACTACTAGTAGTAATAGTAGTATTAGTTAGTGGTCATAATAATACTGTCCTATTTCTCTCTTTTTCTTTCCTCTTCTTCTTCTTCTTCTCCTCAGTTTATCAAATATTTCCCATCTTTTCTAATCTATTAATAATTGCCCTAATTTTCTTGTTTGTTTATTCATGGTTGAAAAAAAGGTAAATAAACATGGTTATTATTATTATTATTAAACATTTGGGCTACGATCAATTTATTCATTAAATAGTTTCATTAATTTATTGAAAGAAAAAAAAAAGAGAGAAGAAAAAGAGAAAGAGAAAAAGAAGAAAACGAAGAAAAAAAAGGAGAAAAATCACTAAAATAAAATGAGAAATAATTGAATGATTGAATGACCTTTATACATGTGTATCATGTAACATTTTGTTGTTGTTGTTGTTGTTGTTGTTGTTGTTTATTTAAAGTTAAATTTAGAAAAGAAAAATGAATCATTTTCATTGAATATACTACTGATTTAATAGAGGTAATTTAGTAGTAGTAGTAGTATTGTTATTATTATTCTATTATAAATTTTTGTGGTTATTTATGAATCTTAAGTCATCTATAAAGGGGACAATTCATTGATTTTGAGTTTTTTTAATGATAAAAAGATTAAGCGTTTGTGAATGAGATTGATAAGTTATAAGTTCGAATCTTGTGAGATGGAATTGTGAATATGCGATGTTAAGTAGTATTATACTAGAATGAAACATCCATCTAGTTCTCATAAATTTTTCATGGTTGTCTGGCTTTAATTGTAAAATTACTATAGTATCCACAAAAACCCATTTCTGATATTAATCAACAAATGCTTACTGGTGACTGGATTCAAGAGGTAATTCCTGGAGTTCTAATGAGAAGCCGTGACTATTAGAATTCAACCGGATCTGTTGTGAGATAATAACTCACTGAAGACAATGGTGAACGGTGGTACAATTTCGTGGACTAGTTGAAATTAGACATTAATATCGTTGAATGCCAGCCAACTCGAGCTCCAAACTAGTAGATCTTGGGTTTGATTCTCACCGGTTGAGATCGTTGATGTGCACTACTGAGGAGTTTTGTATTAAGATGAAACGGCCATCCAGTGGTTCCAGGTTTTCCATGGTAATCTAGCTTTATTCGACTCATGAATTCATTTATTAAATATGACATTTGTCTAGTCTTTAGAGTTGATCTGATTCTATCGATTAAGTAATAATGTTACCATTAGTCTAGGTTACTCGCTATTGAGTGTACAATATGTAATTGGAGGTAGTCAGAAAAAACTTTGCTTGGCATCAGTTTCATGCTAGTTAAAATTGAATGATATAAGTTTGAATCCTACAAAGAGTATCAGTTTCCTTGAAATCCTAAGTAGGTCTTGTTGATAAGTGTTGACTATCATAAAACATTAGTTATCCGAAGTTTCTTATTGACTACCTTTAATCGTACTTTATTAGAATTCGAAGTTATTTATCTAATAATTACCACTTAAGAAAACTAAACATTATTTTTTTTAATAATTGAGATCATGAGTCAATTGAAGCTAGACCACCATGGAAAACGTGGAAGCATTGAACGAGCGTTTCGTCGTAGTATGGGACTCCTCAGTATTGGGCATCCATGAATCCACCTTGTGAGATTCCAACCCGGGACCTATTGGAGTCACGCACGCGAACGCTTAACCACTAGACCACTGAGTTGACCGGAATCCAACGGTGTTAACGTCTAGCTTCAAATAATCCACGAAATTGAGCGACACATCCACCATTATCTTCTGTGAGCTACTGTCTCATAACAGATTCGCTTGAACTCCACTGGTCACAGCTTCTCACTAGAACTCCAGGAAATACCTCTCGGAGCCAGTCAATATTGAGCATATGTTAATTAATATCAGAACAAGGTTTTGTGGATATTATAGTTATTTTTAGTAGTTTCGATCATGAGTCGATTGCAACAAGACTACCGCAGAAACCTTGAAAAAACTGAACGGCTTCAACTGACTCATGATCTTAACTGTTAAAGTTTCTATAATATCCACAAAACTCCTTCTCATAAATTATTTGTTCATTCATTTTTCAAACACTCCGATGAGTTCCTATTCAATCTATACAATATAATAGTATATCATCATAGTTTCATTCTTCTTCATCTCTGATTAACTGATTTCTTCATTCATTTATAAATATTATAGGATTATTACGATGAATATTAATACAATATGCATATAACCATATAAGAAATGATTATATAAGAATATTGATATCAATACAGATAATCATTATTATTCACTTGATATCGTTTACATGAATCTTTCGATTGTTGTTTAGGACTACAATTGATCAGTCTCTTATTGACATATATGTGTCCTGTGTGGATTGCCTCGATATTGCCTTCATTCGCACAAACATTCTAGACAAAGATAAATATTAGTTAACAGGGCAATCCAAGATGTGCATTTCGTCATATTTTTGAATTGTTTAGCTGGCTAATATATGCATCTCAGATTGAATGTTCATTCCAAGACTTGAACTCAGTATTGTTCACTTCAAACCTTATTACATTAACCCAGAGTATACATCAACTCTGAGATACAATTACATTCAACTGATGAATCTCAAATAGGACGAAACATGAATAAGAGTGGATTCCACTTCTAGCCACTATCTATCTTTGTTTAAAAAGTCATTATTATTATTATTATTACTGAGTTATTTATTGACGATAATATGAATTCATAATGACAAGTAACAAATTAATTGTAATACTCATTAGGATAATACTTGAATAATGGGGATAGAAACAACAACAACAACAACAACAACAACAACCGAAATAATAAAAAGAAATACATCCATTGTATTTGTATATGTTTACATGTGAGTCGAAAACTTGTCAAATGTTTAATATTTAACAAATTAAATAATAATAATAATAATAATAATAATAATAATAATATTTTGTCAGTTGAACACTTCAATGAACATTGAAATGATTCCAAAATAAAACAAAAACCAAAAAAAGAAAAGAAAAAAGAGAGAAAAGCGAAAAAGAAAGAAAAGAAACGAATTCAACAAAAAGGAGATAAATGTAGATGATATGCTAAAAAAAAATTTTTTTTTCTAAACAAAAAAAGGGGAACAAAAAAAAAGTAGACAAATAGGAATGAATGGATGAATGAATGGAAACGACAGGGTTTCTGTTGGTTTGTGTTTTGGTATTTTTGTTTTCTTTTAAAGAATATCGAATAAATATGAGTTTGGTTGATTGTTTGTTTATTTGGTTGGTTGGTTGTTGTTGTTTTTTGTCAAAAAAAGAAAAACAATTTAACACGCTTGAAATGAAAAACAAAATAGAAAGAAATTTTTCCACACAAGAATAACAATAACAACAAGTAATAATAATCATTAGTATATTAAGCCAAAAATAAAACCACATGAAAGATTATTATTAGAATGGTTACTATTTATGAGATTATTGACAATGATAATTAACTAATACTCCTACTACTAACACTAATAGTAGTAGTAGTAGTAGTAGTAGTAGTAGTAGTAGTAGTAGTAGTAGTAGTAGTAGAAGTAGTGGTAGTAGTAGTAGTAGTAGTAGTAGTAGTAGTAGTAGTAGTAGTAGTAGTAGTAGTAGTAATAGTAGTAGTAGTACTAGTAGTAGTAGTGGTGGTGTATTATATTCCCATCAATTAGCGGATTTGTTTATCGATATTTCCTAATGTTTCACATGTTCATCAACTGGAACAAGAGAAGTCAACCCTTTTCTTTCTTGCCTTTAGATTATTCATATATAAAGCTATAAATATATACATATGTTGAGCATAATATGAATTGTGAAATAAATAGACTGACAAGCTCATATAGATAAACATTGAATTATTCACATCATGTTGCGGTGCTGGTTGTTGTTGGTTGATTTATTACAGTTTTCAAAAGGAAATTTCTTTTTTGTTTCTTCATCTGCGGTGGTATGTCACAAAAAAAATTTTTTCTTTTTATGATAAATTACTTCCTTTTTTTCAATGATTAGGAATGTTGCTTATTTCCTCTAACCTCTTAGTCTACATCAACCATAATTTTGTTTATTTATTCATTCATTTGAACATATAAACATTGATACAAGCAGACATCCAATATATATGCGCCACACAACTCACTTGAGTTGTGTAAGCGCTGGGATATTGCTCCGGTGCCCAAACTGAATGAGGTGACTTTCTTAGGGGGCCTTCAACCCACTAGTCTGATCCACAAGGAAGTGGAACAACATCAGGAGATGAAGTTCCATGGTAGCCGGTGACTAACAATTGCTTCAGACGCCATTCGTTCCCTCAGAATCCTGGGGTCCATATACACCATTGATAAGGAATGAGAGATTTCCAACTCCCCTATTTCTATCCTCCATATCTATCAACCCGTATGGGAATTCGCTTTTCGTCCTCTCAATTTTGTAAACAACAGTAATGCCGTGAGAACACAGTGAGTATGCACGTAGTCATGTGAGAGCATTTGGAGAGGAAGAGTTAACTCTCACCACTTTCAGTTATACCAGGGCATTCATGATTATTTTAGCTCCAATATAATTTACTATATGAATGAGAATTTCTAGATGAACAGATTAACAAATTCTAATTAATAAACATGGAATTTATGCAGGTTCGGTAAATGTTAATGACTAGAAGTTGCCAAATGAAGACTTCAAGATGATATGATTGTTGATGTTATATGATCATCGGTTTTAATAATATAATTAGTATTAATTATATTATCCAAAGTAGTAAAAACTATTGTAGTGTATGCTACTTATTTTAGTCGACAGACACAAGTAGTATGTAACATCAATCAGAAGTAAAAACCCTGGTAGCAGAAGGCTATGAAGGTCAACTTGAAGAAAACAGAAGTAGAATTAGAAAACAATTATGAACTGGAAGAATTGTACAGTATGTGAAAGAAAAATGATGAAAATTTGCAAATGAAGTATTCAATGTATGGTTCTCATAATTACCAAGAGTCCTAGGTTTGAGTCCCACATACTAGATTATAGATGCACACTGTTTAGGTGTCACATGCTAGGAAGAAATGACCGTCCAATGCTTACAGGTTTTCTATAATGATCTAGCTTAGATTGACTCATGAATTCACCTATTAAATACATTCAATTGTCCCTATCTGTGATCTCATTCATATCATATTTAACTAGTCCATAGTATTGTTTCATTTTCTCGGTTAAAGTTACATAACACCTACAGCTGAAGGTGAGTTGACATTGTATTTCATATTGTATGTTGTTTGATGGTTGAAGTCAATTAACAGCTTATTGTGATAATGGATTTCTTATTATTTCATACTCAACCGTTGGTAATATCTTTATTTACAATGTAATTCATAACTAATTGTTTAACTCATAGTTCGAATAATAAATTGAATAGTTTTTTGAAACTGAGTAGTATGTTTTCATCTATTTTACATTCCATATACTACTTAAATGTATTTAAGTATAAGTACAGTTTACACATACTAATTTTGTTCGTATGTTCAGTTCATTTTAATTGCTAAATGTATAAGTATGAAAGATTATTTATCATGTTGTAGTGTGATGTGTATTACTGATATCGATAGATATAAGTAGTATAGATCATTAATCGAAAATGAAATGCCTAGTACCAGAACAATAGAAAAATCAGAGAAAGGAGAACGAGACCAAAGAATGGTTGATGTGTAAACGAAAGAACTATCAGATCTGAGGCGATTGATTGACACTTTACAAATGAAGAATTCACTGTATGGTTCTCAGATTATACTAAGATATTCTATTATGCTGTGTTCAAATACCTTTGATTGTCCTCACTTGTTTGTTCTCGTTTACTACAATATTAACAAATGTATAATTATCAGAAGGGGTTTGTGGAGATTTAAGAAATTCCACAGATTGAAATCATGCGTCATTTGAAGCTGGACCACCATGGAAAACCTAGAGACACTAGACGGACGTTTCGTCCTAGTATGGGACTCCTCAGCAGTGCGCGTCCACGATCGTGCACCCCGCGAGACTCGAACCCAGGACCTATCAGTATCTGCTCACAGGTCTAGTTGGTTAAGCACCTGGCGCGAGACTGATAGGTCTGTGGTTGGAATCCCGTGGAGTGCGGGATCGTGGATGAGCACTGCTGAGGAGTTCCATCCTAGGACGGAACGGCATTACACGATTTCCATGGTGGTCTAGCTTCAATTGATTCATGATTTCAATCTGTGAAATTGTATAATTCACAAATGTGAATTAACTTTATCAAGATACAAGTGAATCAGTCTTATTATTGTCACTGTATTGAATGCACTCGTTTGATTCATTCTCTTAATGAAAGATTACACGTGATTAAGATTATAGTTGATTAGTTATAATTCTAAAATATGATTCTGAATAGTAGAGATTTGAGTAGTGACAACAACATAGTACGATTTGATTAGCCCTCATAGAGAAATTATGATTTAGTTTAGTAAAAGAATAGGTTACTAAGTTTAGTTCCTGAATGAATATTGATGAACAGCAGTGAGTGATGTCGATAGATATAAGTAGTATGTGTCATTGATTGAAAGCGAAATACCTGGTGGTAGAAGGTTGAGAAGATCGAAGAGAAGAGAACGAGAACAGAGAATGTTTGCTGTGGAAGCGAAGGAAAAATGAAGTCTAAGACGATTGAGTAACATCTTACAAATAAAATATTTACTATATAGTTCTCAGATTATTGTAATCATTGAACATTGTACATTGAATATATTATACACAAGTATATTATTATTATTATTATTATTAACTTCAGTAGCAGTAGGTCTCAACATACACATACGGAAAAGCGAGATTCTCCCATACAACACAACATGCACCAATCGAATCACACTTAAAGGGGAAGCTTTGGAAGATGAAAAAGCCTTTACATATCTGAGTAGCATCAATGATGAACATGGTGGATCTGATACTGGTGTAAAGGTGCGGATCGGCAAAGCAAGAACAGTATACTTACAACTGAAGTACATCTGGAACTCAAAACAACTGTCTACGACGATTGAGTGACATCTTACAAATGAAGTATTGACTATATTTGGTTCTCAAATGTTACTAAGTTGTTCTGTAAGTTTGGTGTTGAAATACATTTGATTGTCTTCAATTTTCTTCTCGCTTATTACAAATCGCATTTAAACAAAATTTATGAAATGAAGTTAAGAGTTTGATAGTGACCTGCCTAATTAGAAACCTTACATTAAATTGACTTTTCATTAAAATGTTTTTTAGAGGGAAAATATAAATAAGAAGTAATTCATTTGTATATCATCATCATCATCATCTTCATGACGCAAATCATCATCATCCAACTTGACATCATCATCATCTAAGTCATTCAAATCGTCATCATCATCTAAATCATCATCAAACATCATCATCATCTCAACCATCCAATTCGATCATCATCATCATCATCTAAATCGTCCAAATCATCATCCAATTCGTCATCATCATCATCATCTAAGTCATCCAAATCATCATCATCATCTAAATCGTCCAAATCATCATCTAAGTCATCCAAATCATCATCATCATCTAAGTCATCCAAATCATCATCTAAGTCATCCAAATCATCATCATCATCATCTAAATCGTCCAAATCGTCATCATCATCTACATTACTCAATGCAACTTGAATTAATCATCAAATAAGGTTTGATTTTGTTCTCTTTTACTCATCATCAAACTAATTAATGAAGACATAAAGAAAATGTAAAAAAAAAAAAGAAAAGTAGATAAAAATAAATCGAAATAAGAGAAAAACAAATTTGATAACTAAATTCAATCAATTTCAAGACCTATTTAATTAATTAATTCATTGATAAACAATAACCAAGTCAATCATTCAGAAATTATTGATTGATTGATTGATTGGTTGAATGATCGATTGATTATAAACATTATCATTATTATTATTATTATTCATGTCTAGGTTGTACCAATCCTTTTATTCCATTGATAAACACCAAAATGACAAGTAAACAGGGAAGAAGAAGAAGAGGGACGAGAAGAAGAAGAAGATGATGATGATGAATGGTAAAAGACATCAACTTGAAATGATGAATATATAATAATAATAATAATAATAATAATAATAATAATAATAATAATAATAAAATAAATGGAGACAATAAAATGAAAATAAGTAATAACTACTAATGAATTAAGAAAATAGTATGTGCATAGATTTAGTCAAAAATAATTATGCTATACTTGATGACAATATCGATTGTTAAGTGGGATAAATAAATATGGTTACCCTTGTTACTACTCCCTCTCTCTCTCTCTCTCCTACACACACACACACACTCACTTTCACTTTGTTCGAGGCATTAATATAACATCAAACGTAGTTTTACAAAGAAATATCCAAATAAAAACGAATATCATTACAGTAAATAATGAATAGAATAGATGTATGTAATGTCTTCGCTGTAAGTGGATAAGAGACACATTGAGGAAAGCACCCAATTGAGTCACAAGGCAAGCCCTCACCTGGAATCCCCAAGGCCAAAGAACACATTACAGCGAGAAATGGAGATCGATATGAGAATGAACAGCAATTGAATAGAACTAGAAAAGAAGGCACAGGACAGAGTGGGTTAGAGAATGCCGGTCTGTGACCTATGCTCCATTGGGAGTAACAGGCGTAAGTAAGTAATAAAATGTCTTACCCAATTAGATTTGATATTTAGTGATCTAAAAGTATCGTAGATTTCAATTCCAAGATGGAAAAACATTGATTTTTTATATTGTTCACTAGCCTTATAATTAGAAGATTGAATAGTGACCAATATCATTTTTGTCTAGTTCACAATTTGAATTGAATTCTATGGATCACTTTTTATAGGATGTCAGTTCACGTTTAAATCGCTCAATGGTAATACCTCAGATATTAGAACTTGATCAACCCCGTTTAAATATATTACAGGATATCGATTCTCCCAGATTCTACATACTTCTTTATGATCAATGCTAACTAGCACGAAATGATCAATTATAGTTTCTTACCGAGTATCTTTTCTCTTTTGTATGGAAACTAAATCTTAATTAATTCATTTGTATTGATTGTTTTAATTTTCCCATTAATGTATAAGACTGCAATTCATCAGTCTCTTATTAACATGTGTATTATGTGAGGATAGCCTCAAGTCACAAACATTACAAGCAAAGATTTGTGATAACTAGCAGTGTAATTCAGGGCGCATGTTTCGTTCTACTTGAGACTCATCATTTGGATATTCACTCTGAAATGCAGATACATATAGGTGACGAGTCCGAAATGGGACGAAATAGGTGTCCTCAATTCCACTGCTAGCCATCATCCATCTTTGCCTACAAGACTTAGTTAAATATATCAAAACAAATGATAGTCATGTTTTTGTAAAATGTTGATTAAATAGACAATAACAATCTAAGTTCCTGTATAAGTGTTAATAGGTTCAATTCTTTAACTTGTAACGATCATATTCTGAACACAAATCTTTAACGAACTAATTATACAATTGAATGTTTTAAAGTTCCATATATTCAAACTATTTTACTTGTCATCATCCTACTTCAATGTATTCAACGGTTCGTTATAATTGAAAATTGATACTGATTTGTTGTTTTCTGATTGGCTTTTTAATTTTATTAGATGGTTAAAGAAGTCAATAAGTAGAAATGTCTTGGTCTTAGAAGATCTTAAGAAACTTATATGGTTTATTTAAACTATACGTTATTGAGAAACGGTAGAGATTCTCTTTATATGATCATTGTTTTTACAATATGCCCAGATTAAAAATTGTAGTTCTTCCAAGGCTGAAATCGGAGTTGATAATTTAATGCTGAGATGTATACTACTTATGAGTAATTTATTTCTTTCAGACATTTTATTACAATACAATCAGCTAACTGGATATAGCTCAAGTTCAATGTGGCGAGACTATAATTTATGGACAAATGAATCAGATTTAGGATAACAGGTCTTAGATTTTGACTCGAAATTCATTCACCCATTTGGCTAAATAGCATCTTGACATTTTAGCTGATGTCAGTTCGTGATAAAAAAAAACTGTAGATCGAATTCCTAACCCTAACCATCAACTGTGAATCATAATCCATATCCTCCAAACTGCTTTATAACCCTTATTTAGTCATAGTAAGTAAATAGACACACTCACTGTCACTTTAGCGTTGCTCAAAGGTCGTTTATAAATAATAGTCTCACCCTCAATGTCAAGAACAAATAGTTTAAGACACATCATAGAATGGAAAAGGGATAAATAATTTTTTGAAAAATTAGAATGTATTATTGAGATACAACATTTGAAAGTCAATGGGAGATTCTTCTAATGAGAAAAAGATGTATGTAATTCGATAGGTCGAACGATGAAAAAAAACTACAATCGAGTAAGAATAGAGAAAATATGAGTTTTAGGGGGAAATACAATGAAATAAATGATGTCTCATGATATATAGTACCTTGAATTCTATGTTAACCAAATGACATAGGTGTGAATCGCGTGGAAGTACCATAATACAATGGTTATAATGACATTATAGTGTAAAAAGATCACAACAATAATTGTTATTATTTATTTATTTCAACACAGAAATATTGGTACAAAGGGGCACCGAATACATATGTGCCACACAAGTCACTTGATTTGTGTGTTGACTGTGATAGAACCCTGGTGCTCAGACCGAAGCAGGTGGTTTTCTTAGGGGGCCACACCTGGAGACTTCGACCTAAAGGTCTGACCCACAAGGCACTGGAGCAACATTAGGAGATGCAGTCCCATTGTAGCCAGTGACAAACAACTTGTTCATACGCCATTTGTCTCCTCAGGATACTGGAGCCTATGTGCATCATTGGTTTGGAATTAGGGCCTTTGTCCACCCTAGGTGGACTTACTGTGTCCACCGACCCGGTTAAAGCGCCAGACATTCGCTTTCCATCCTCCCAATTTCGTAAACAACGGTAATGCCGCAATAATGCAGTGAATAGGACTTCCCTGTCAGTAGCTGTTGCACGTGGACATATGAGAGCATTCGAGAGGGAGAGCTGGATTTACCCACCCTCAGCCGTATCGGGATTCAGTAGCTAAGTGGATAACGTGATGGTGTTTGAAGCGAATGGTACTGGGTTCGAGTCCCGTAGTGAGTATCAACTCTGAGATACAGGTAGATCCAACTGACGAGTCCCGAAACAGGATGAAACGCTTGTCCTTGATTCCACTGCCAGCCACTATCTATCTTTGCTTATCAACTATTTTAATTTTTATTGATCACTTAAGGTACTCGGTATACCATAGTTTTATCTACACAAAAAACCATTGAACAATGAGTTACATGAACAACAAGACAGAAATCAATTGTGCTAGAAAGAAATAATTTGAAGTTACATTATGATCAGATAATAGGTGAGAGCATCTATTTTATATCCAGTTTTTTAATGTTTCCTTCTTCATTGAAATCAGATTCTAGTTTGAAAGCCCAACATTTACATACATGAAAATGTAAGCTATCGGTGGTGTCTATATTCAATTGTCTTTACTTGAATCATCATGCTACTAGAATAGACTGAATAATTCATATCAAAACACCCCCTCCCCTATGTGGTAACTAAATTTTTTCCTAAAAACCATTAGTAACGTGGATAAGAAAATGCCAAGTATACTATGTTTGACACCACGTGATGTTGTGGATGCGTACTAGTGAGGAATCCTATACCAAGAAGTAGCGCTTCAGTCCTTCTTGGTTTTTAAGATTTATTTAACTGAAATCTGTTCGTAGTACACAATTACATAATTCGACAATTTCTACAAACTGTTCATGAACAGTGCACATTGTATTTGTGATTAGATTTTACCGATAGTCAAACTGTTGTCACATCAATACTCTCAAATGTGAATGTGTGAAAAAAGAATTATCTCCTTATATATCCAGGACAATTTGATATGTACATTAGTAAAGGTAAAATGAGCTGATTGCCACTCAAGAAACCATATATACATGAATGTAATCAATTTTCCATAGTGATCTAGCTTCAACTGACTCAGGATCTCAACTATTGTAATACTTATTATTTGAAAGCTAAAGATATTTTCTAGCTTCAAGTACATAATATCTTGCCCATGATTCTGTATTTGATTTTGGATGTTTATTGTCGAGTTATTCCAAAATGACATGAAATAACTGTTTCCATATATATACAGTTTAATCCAGAATAGAAAGAATCATCTACTTTATGACGTGTAAAAAAAGGTACATGAATATAAGATAATTATCTGTATAAGGTTGAGGAGATTGTTGACTTTTAACTTGATATCATGAACCGATTCATGTTAGAGAACCATTGGAATCATGGAAGCACTAGATGGTCGTTTCGTCCCAGTGAGTGGCTCCTCAGCAATGAGCATCGACGAACCCGCACACGGGAATCAAAGCCAGGACCTTTGATTCGGCGCGCGGACGCTTAACTTCTAGACCACCAAGTTTGCTGACATCTGATAATGTTAATCTTTTACTTCATCCAATCCATGATATTACACACTGTTGAGAAGTTCCATACTAAAACGAAACAGCTGTCCATTGCTTCCAGGTTTTCAATAAGGATCTAACATTGATCTATTCATGATATCAATTTAAATAATTTATCCGGCAGACACATAGTTTGATTTCATTTAAAAAGTATTAAATTCAGTTGATAAAACTAAAAGTAATCGGTAATTACGGTATCAGTAATATTTTTAGTTGACATTATGAATGAACTGATTCGATACATCGAAGTAAAACTGTGAACACTAGTCATTTAAGAATTAGTAAAAGTTGTAAGTAAGTATAAGCAGTAATCGGAAAACTTAGGGTTTCAAGGTGTTATTCAAGGAGTATAATCCAGTGAAATAAATTTGGAATGAGAAAAATTCAGGGATATGAAGAATTCAGAAGATTAAAATTTTGGAGAACACAAAGAGTGGATGCACCTGCACTATTGCAAACGATTTCGAGTCGTGTCATTCAAGGTCTCTAACCATCGGTTGCTATCATCTCGTGGATCCCAACCCGGTAAGTCCACACCTACCAACATGGCTCAGTCCACTTGTCAGTCACTTCATGGATTTGTGTCATGCTTTTGGTTTGGCCACCTCTAGCTTTCTTCCAACCTACTCCTATATCATAAAACATCGCAGATCGAGGCAGTCGGTAGTTGGGCATACGTAACACATGTCCCAGCCATCTCAACTGATGAAGTTTCACTACTTCATCAATTGATTTGCCATCCTTACCTAGTACCTATTTTCTAAATACACAAAGCTATCAAGTTAGAAAAAAATCACCGATCAACTACAGTCCTGAATACTAACCGACAAATACAAATCCTTAGAAAAATTAATAAGATTATGTTTATTATTAAAACTAATTATAAAAACCCACATGTATATTGATCATGAATTCACATAGTAACTAAAATGAATAAATGAATTAGCAACCAATTTAACAAGTTATGGGAACCAATATAAATAAATAAATAAATAACACGTTGAAACAATACATGGAATAATGTGTTCGTATTTCAAATCCATATACAAAAGAATAACGATAACATAGTAACAATAAAAAGAACATAGAACTAATTCACTTTAACTTTTCGTGTTGAATATTGTTGTTGTTGTTGTTGTTGTTGTTGTTGTTGGTCAATTTTAGAAACAGATGATACATTCCAATAATAGACTAATTGACCCATTAATATGTAATTGCATAGACTAGCTAATATACATGATATAATCATTAGATTATCACCAGTTTCTTGAATTGATGTAAATATACGTGCAGTTGAACCTAAAGCAAATAGGAACAGTGTAATAGCTGATAATTGACCTGTACTCCCATTACAATAATTTGTCCATATTTGAGCAATCTGGAAAAAAAATAGAAAATTATAAGGACTCTGAAAATTTTAATAGTTGAGATCATGAGTCAAATGAAGCTAGACTATCATGAGAAACCTAGAAGCACTGGACGGCTGTTTCGTCTTATTGTGGGACTCTCCTCAGCAGTGCCAATATTATTTTAGCAATGAATGGACGAATAAATGTTGCCAGGACTGATAGGTTCTGGGTTCGAACCTCGCGAGGAAGGATCGTAGATGCACACTTCTGAGGAGTCCCACAGTAGTAAGAAACGGTTGTCCAGTGCTTCCAGGTTTTCCATAGTGGTCTAGCTTCAAGTGACTCATGACCTCAACTATTAAACTTACTATAATATCCACAAAACTCTGATAAATGTTTAGAATTTTATCGATAAAACAAAAAGGCGCGTAAGTATATTCTAACAAACACATACACATACACACGTGAAAAGCTTCAGATTGTCAAACTTTGAGAAGATTGGATGATTAGCCCAAGTTTTGTGGATTTGATGCTTATAATCAAGATATGTTTACAAACGAAAGTGAATGAACACTCGCCAGGATCCTCACACTAGTTCTACTACTTAGCAAAGTCATATGCCAACATGGTTAGTTTTATTAGCCCACAGAATTCTGTTCTAAATGTATCTTTACCAACGTTTGAACTACGTGAGAAAAGTATTTCCACTTTCGGGATCATAGATGAATTCTGTAACCAAAACGACGCGTGGAAGACTCGAATGTTGGTACGTAAGGTGGGAAGCAATGAACATGCACGTTATACTGACCATATATTGCCAAAGTTACCTCGAGAGTTCAGTTTCGAGGAGACGGTAATTCAATTGTCAGAGATATTCGGTGAGTCATCCTCATTGTTTAGTATTCGATATCGGTGTCTAAATTTGGTGAAACGCGAAGCCGATGAATATGGTGTTCTAGTAGACATCGTCAACAGAGAATGTGAACGGTTCAAGTTACGCTCGTTGACAGAAGACCAATTTAAATGCTTAATATTCATCAAAGCTCTTCAGTCGCCATAAGATGCTGAGATCAGGACTAAACTTTTGGCTCAACTGGATCAAGACCCAAACGTCACACTCAGAACATTGACAGACGAGTGTATGCGGCTACAAAGGATCAGACACGACGAGTTGATTGAACAGGCAAATCCTAATTTAACCTGCAGTAGTGTCAATGCTATCACTAGGTTAAAAGTTCAGAAGCCAATAACAACTCGTAACAAACCAACGACTGCATGTTGGTTATGTGGTGATTGGTATTATGTACGATTCTGTCCATTTGAGAAGCATAAATGTCAGATGTGCAGCAAACGTGAACATAAAGAAGGTCAATGTCCACCGAATCGTACGCTTCATCCCAAGAAGTAGCGTAAACGTCCTCGAAACACCAGATCCTACGAATCTGCTCAAAGGGGAGGTGTTAGAGGGACATAGATTGGATTAAATCATGCTCAATGCAGCTTGCGTTGACGCATGCTGATTGGTTAATTCTCACCCAATCAGAGTTAGTCAATACTTAGTGAACACTGGAAATCTTCTCATGTGAAAACTATAAATATACTGACGTTTTCCCTATTGTGCTTCTACTTCCATCTAACCCTGTTATTTGGAATATAATTTCTTTTTCTGTTCAACTGTGTTTTGATTTGGGGAACTTGTCGAGTGAATTGGCGTCCGAGAATACTAAGCAATAGGAATAGCTGGGTTGTAATAAAAGAGAGAATTATAACAGAAAGATTCATCTAAGGGAGTTGGAAAACCCTCATTCCAAACCAATGGTGCACATGGGCTGGCTCCAGGATCCTGGGGAATCGAATGGCGTATGAGCCAATTATTGATCACTGGCTACCATGGAACTGTATCTCCTGACCTTGCTTTATTCCCTTGTGCACCAGACCTTTAGGTCGAAAGCTCCGGGTGTGACCTCTCCTAAGAAAACCACCTGCTTCGGTTTGAGCACCTGAGCATTATCCCAGCCCTCACCTAAATCATATGACTTGTGTGGTACATATGTATTAGGTGCCTCCTTGTACCAATGTCCATGCGTTCAAATAAAAAGAGAAAAAACAAAAATTCATAATAGGAAAATGAATATATATCCAATAATTAAATAACTAACTACCTTAGATGATAACATAATTGGAAGATTAACTGTTTGAAATAGTATCAATATTGATAATGGAAGTGTTGGAGATAAAAGAACAGCTACACATGCTATATAAGCACAAGAGAATAGGACAGCTTTAATATGTGAATATGTCCAAGTTATTGCCATAATAGCCAAGAGGAAATTTTGTATACCTAAAAAGACTCCTTCTCCATAAGCACTAAACAAATAAACAACCAATTAATACAATTTTAGACAATAAACATGGTAATATGAAAATTAATGTTATCATGTGATCAGAATTCACAAGTAGCTTGTATTTTGTTTCAATGTATTGCATTCTAAGGATTAAATTGATATTGGATCCGAGTTGATAAAGTGACAATAGATTTAGTGTATTTATAGTAGATGATTTAGTGTAAAGAAGTGATCTTAATCATGTTAATCATAGAGTGATATCTGAATATATCATCGTGGACAGATATGACAAAATTGATACCGTAGATGATGAGTGAAAATGAAGAGGTCAGAAAAAAAGACATAGTTCGTTAAGTGATGACCATATTTCAAAAGTAAACTAGAAAGATTACGCAATGGTCGTGAGCAATGGTAGGTAACGAAAACAAGAGAGACGAAAAAGACAACTGTTAGTCAGACCATCTCGGCAAAGGATACAACTATGACTCACTCCTAGTTAGAATATTAAACAGACTGAACAGAGAGTCTTATAGAACAGTTCAATTGGTTTCCAATTACCGACTATCTCTAAGCAACTTGAACACGAAATCGACACTTAGCGAGGTTGATAAGGTTATAGACAATCTAAAACGAAGAACAATAGAGGGCTCAGATGAATTAACTCCAATCTTTAAGGATGTTGGTTCAGTTTCAGCAGCTAAGCTGAATGAAGTACTTAGCTACAGCTTAGAGGCTGTATGTAATCATTTGACCGATCTCGATTGTTGTTCGCTCCAATTTTTAAGAAAGGACCGAAATACCCCTGTAGAAACGGCAGAGGAAGCAGTTTGACTAATATATTATGTAAAATACTAGTCTCTATAATCATCAAACGTTCGGGAAGAGCAACCAAAGGAAAACTAGATTGGTTTTAGACCTCAACGTAAATGCACTAACGAAATACTTATTCTTCAAGTTTTATAAAATATGAATACTTTCAGGCTCCCGACTATGGTTGTATTTTTTGAACTTAAGGTAACGTTCAACTCTGTTGACCGAGAGGTTTCACGGAAATGTTTGTCATTGAGAGGAGTACTATTGATGTATACCAACTTCGTGTACGCTCTCTACTCAGGCATCACTGGTTGATTCGATGCTTACGGCGAACTGTTATCAGAACTTTAAACTTCAAGTGATGTTCGTCAAAGCTCCCCACTATCCCTATTTTCATTTAATTTTGTCGATGTCCTCCTAGAAATAGCATTTTTTTCACCTAACTTTGAGATCCGTTTTTTCCCCTCTAAGCGAAAAATGTTGTTTCAGAGCTGGTCTGTGTCAACACCTGAATTGATGGTAGGGAGTGACTTAGTTGAAAGTTTTGATCATTTCACTTACCTTGGGAGCTTCATAAGCCTTGGTGAGCTGGACGTTACATCTACTTACTGAAGAAAATAAACAGAATAGGTGAATTGGGGTTCGGAACTGAAAATTAGTGGTTGAAATTCGGATGCCCTAACCACTAAACGACTACTCCAAGGTCCTAAACAGTCGATGGTTTTATAGATTGATGCCACATCTGGTCACTCCTACTATTCTTCCTACTAATTCCTACCTTAAGTAATACTGCTCGTCGATGAAGGTAGTGGCTGGGCATAGATACTATGCCTTAATCAACTTGAACGTAGGCCACAAGTGACTATGTAGCTCTTTTCAAAAATCCTAAAAATATATTTGATGTATTGGTCCTTATCTTCTCCCCTGTAAGAACAGATGCATCGAATGTATTTTCAGGATTTTCGAACGAAACTACATACTCAGTCGTGATTACTTACAGTATCTTGACATATTATTTACTCAGCTCAACTTTCAGATTCTTATTTTCTCATTGACCATTTCTTGATAGAACTGTGTGAAATTTTGTACAAACGTATGAATTTGTCGAATTCTACATTAATAACAGAAGAGCTTTTTGTGTATATTATAGTAATTTCAATAGTTGAGATCATGAGTCAATTGAAGCTAGACCACCATGGAAAACCTGGAAGCACCGGACAACCGTTTTGTCCTACTATGGGACTCCCCAATGGCAGTGCGCATCCACGAATCCGCCTCGCAAGACTCCAACCTAAGACCTATCAGTCTCGCGCGCGAACGCTTAACCTCTAGACCACTGAGCCGGCATCCAACGGTGTTAATATCTAACTTCAACTAACCCACGAGATTGAGCGGCACATCCACCATTGTCATCAATGAGTTACTCTCTCACAACAGACCCGGTTGAACACTACATTGTTCGAACTAGTCAATAAATATGAATAATATACATTCAGTGAAATTTTATATAAAGAAAAATAACTGTTATATTTATTTACCTGAACGGGAATCCATTAGCAAATGAGTAAGCGCTTACAGATGTTAAAGAGATCATTTCAAGTAAAATTGAAAGTATACTCAAACCAAATGAATTTTTACATTTTGCAACTTTTATTACTTGTGGAATTTTAACTTTTCATAAACTACAATTACTGACTACAAAGAATTGAAACTACTTACCAAGTGAAGAGCCAATAACTATTCCATATCCTAATAATTTACTAATAGTTGCTTTAAAACATGGACCTAAACAAAATAGTAGATTAATTGTGTGTTTTTTTCGAAAGATTACCATCAAATAAATCTCCTTCTTTTGTAAACTTATAAAAGCATTCTTTAGAGATTATAGGACTGATTAAATCTTCTAAAGCCATACTTTAAATATAATAAAATAATTGAGGAGATAGTTTGGCAAACTCTTTCAATCGATTTGTGTTTATATGGAAAGTTAGAGAGAACTAAAAGAAAATAAGGAAAAGAACAATCGGTTGAATAAACAACATTTTAAACCAAGTAAAAATGTAACAGCCATTCTAGATCTGTTGTTTCTGAACAATTTAGGGATTTATAGCATGGAATAACAAAATATTTTCATTGAAGTAATACATATCTTCACTTGGTGTTGTTTTACTTGTATCTTCCCATCGTTATTTAGGACTGCAATTGATGTCTCATGTTGACATATGTGCATCCTGTGCTGACTGCCTCGATGTAGCCTCAAGTCACAAACGTTTTAAGCAAGGATGATGGATAGTGGCCAGAAGTGGAATTAAGGATGCGTGTTTTGTCCTATTTGGGACTCGTCAGCTGGATGTACCTGCATCCTAGAGTTGATGTTCACTCTGGGACTCGAGCCCAGTACCAATCGCTTCAAACGCCATCATGTTATCCACTTAGCTATACATCTTGTTCTCCTTTTGGAAAGATCCTTCTGCACACTATTTCTATCGGCTATTGTTTACATGTTCTAAAAGAACCACCCCGTATAATCAAATTTTCATTAGAAATATTAACCCTTCTTTGTAACTTTCAGTCAATGTAATCAGGATGCTTTGTATGTTTAACGCTTTTATTTCAGGTAAATCAAATAGATATATGACGTAGTCGTAAGTTTACGGATACTATGAAAACAGATTTTAGGGTGTTAGCATACAAATTTTGACTGGTATTTTATGTGGTCAGATACTACCGTTTAGTTCGGTAATCTAACTGCTTCATAAAACTGTATACCAGACATACTATATTCAAATTTTAAAAATAGTGTGCATTCAGTTAAGACACATGCTAAGATGTCTCGTTCATGTTAGAAAACATGAGACAAATTCCGACTTCCTATTTTAAATTACTTATATATCCTGAAGTGTCCAAATTTATGACACCAAATCTACACTTGTAATAGAAGCTCCTAGCTTCTGTTAAAATGACCCAATAAGGCAATTCAGATAAGTAACAACTACCAAAAGTAAGATGAGATGATTCAATGCCAACAAAATGGTGAGTATTTAGTATTTGCAATATTTGTGTTCTATTATATGAACTGAACATCACTATCATTGAGAGTGGAAAAGACAAATGCCAACCTCCTGAAGTAGAAAAACCGACAACTAATTTCTTGCAAAACTAATCGAGTAATTGAGCATAGCCATTTGTAAGGTCACGTAGATTTGAAATAAAGAATTTGTCACTGAGGCCATGATTTGAAATATTTACTCATCAAGAATGATGATAGTTCGAAAACAGTACGTTAGTGTTGAGCTATTAAGTAAGCAATACCAGAAAATTAAATGGAATGATATGTCTACGTTCCCTCGATTCGAAACTGTACATGTCGTATCTCTCTGCATATATAATGACATACCATTAAGAGAATGGATCGTTTTCTTCTACTATTACGCTAGTCCTATTTTCCTATAGAAAGAACAAGAGTTCTGTAGTGTTGTATCTTAATATCAGTAAACAGCTTGTTATTATTAGCTTCAGATAGCGTTAATTATGTAATCTCGTTCTCTACATAATCTGAATAAATACATAGAAACACGTGACCAACCTGTAATACATAGCTGAAGTTGAGGTAAATAGTGCTACGTTTAACACATAAATTCGCTTATTTTTCAGACACACAAATGGTTTGAAAATAACCGAGAAACGTTCGTAATGGTAGGGGAATAGGGAAATGACCACTCCCACGCTGTCAGCCAGAACAATGATTACACAACCAGAGTGAAGATTTGTTGTGGCTCTTATACTTATGTTTAATAATCCTTTAAGATTCTAGATGATGGCGAAAAGGCTGATGGGTGATAACCTAAAAACACTAATCAGTACTACGAGCAAAAATGCTCTCCGGATGTGCCGATTTTATAATAGCATACGAAGTAGAAACACTTCTGTTATTTTTAATCATCAGGCGCACTAACATCATGATTTTTATCTCTACGTTTAACTGGACAAGATCTTGAAAAACTGAACAACATCCCAATCCAAGGTTATCTCCGTGACATGAAAGATAGGCTCATGAGAGCTACCGTAGAAGGAGTGACAATGTAAGTAACGTTCTTCAGAGGTAACTTCTTATTTCCTATTTTAGGAGCACGGTACTACTTTAGCGAACATCACTGTAAGCTTCACCTTGTGTTGTTATGTTTTAACATTAAACATATTGAAGTATAGTTTCACTACACAGACTAATTCCTATTACATTTTAGAACTCACTAGACAATACTTATGGTTCGTAGTGCGCATACATCACACATCAACTCTTTCACTTCTATGTGTTACATGGCAGTAAGTTAGACGTACGTGGGAAGTCCACATGATTTTCCATTTCGTTTATAGCAGAACCTCATTATTTATACATAATTTTCTTGATAAACTACGAATTTGCCGGTTACCTTCTTAAGATTTCCTATCATAATAATCATACTTATCACTTACAGCAAGAACATGTCGGCACCTAAACGTCCTAAATATTATTGAAAACATTCGTTAAAATTTCTGCAAACAGATGTCTTCTAATACATGCATCATACCTCAAATTTGATCAGTTGTGTCGAAAAGTTGGTTTCCTTGTGGAAGCAAAGGCTAACAGTGGGTAGTTTCAAGTCTGCTTATCTACCAGAAGTTTAGGATTAGAAACAGCTACTTATGTGATAATGTAGGTAGACTAGATGGTGTAAATCCCGAGAAATTGCTCCGCCAGGGAGACATGTAATGGAAAAGTCTCACAATTTTTTACCATGGTAGGAATCAATGAGCTACCCCCTCATCCACGCCAAAGTTTATTAGGAAATGTCGTCATCATTCCCCTCGTGTTCTGTTACACTTCCCCGCTATGTTTACTTCGGAAGGCCGCAGTTTTACCTTTATCATGAAAAAACGATGTTGAAACCTAAACACGACAATAATCTATTACATGCTAATCCAGTACTGAGCTATCCATACGAAAAGTCAAGCTAGAATTAAGCCACAAAACAGGTTACAACTGCAGACTGACCAGTAGCTTACGTGTAACGCAAAACCCAGATAACCGCTATACAAACTACAAACTTCCTGATATCAGTCTTCAGTAGTAAGGACAGGAGGTTTATTGGCCTATATTAATCCTTACAATTTGTAGCACTGTGGAAGTTCAATCTCACTTTAAATGAATCAACAGGTGCTGATATTACGTGTTTTTGGTAGAGAATTTCAGTAATTCACTACTCAGTTTGAGAAATGTAACTCCAGACGTAAATGATATGGCCTCGGTTTCTGAAATTTTATAGAATTTTCTCCAAAATTATCAGTTCTAGATGGAAGGAAAATATAAGGCATATTAATGCTAAGATCGTCGTTCAGTATATGACAAGCCAACATTAGATCATCCCGTAATCTGAAGTAAGATAACGGAAATAAGTGAAGGTGTCTCAGTTTGTCTCCATAGGATAGGTCAGAAATACCCTTTTCCATTTTTCTCCCTCGTCGTTGGACTCGTTCTAGCATGTCCGCCTCATACTCGAGACATGAACTCACTGCTCAAATCTCATATTCCAAATGCCGCCTCACAAAATTTGGGTATAATACCCTAAACATTTATTTGTCTAAGCATTGAAAAGACTTAAAAAACATCCCATAAGACCCTGAAGTCTTTGGCTGCTGTCCATAGTTTTGCAGTCGTTGCTTATTAAGACTCCTAGATCCGTGTAGTCCATTACTTTAGGTAACGCGACTCCACAAACTGTGTAGTGAGAAGAATCTTAGTACTTATTTATTTGCATCACTACACTTGTCAGGGTTAACTTCTAATGGCCAACTGTTCATCCGTTCAACTAATGAATTTGGGTCATCCTATAATATTTTTCAGTCTGATATGCTGTGTATGGATCTCCAAATCTTTATGTCGTCTTCAAAGAGTAGAAAAGATGACTTTGCTACAGTTGATAGATCATTTACACGAGGCAATAATGAAGAGGACCGAGGATTGTACCTTGGGCAGCTTCACTTTTTATATATTCCCACGCTAAGAAAGCCTCATTTACTCATACCCGTTGTCTCATATCATGGTGAAAGACACTTACCCAGTTTATGATTTTATACTGGATACCAATATCTTCCAGTTTTGGTTTATGACCCAAATGAGGGATATTTCAAAGGCTTTACCCAGATCTATAGAAAGCACACCTACCAGAATGTTTCTGTTTTTCACTGCATTCCAAACTCTTCTTACAAGGAGCATACTTGTCAAGCATGACAGGTCTTTCTTAAAACCATACCACTATCTGGCTAAAAGATTATCCCCTTCCACATAGTTGAAAATAGCCAACGGAATAATCGTTCCCACTAGTTTGACGACTGTACTTGTTGGACTAATGGACCGATGGTTATTAGGTTTCAACCCCCCGCTGGGGGGGTTGGACTGCTGCAAAGACATATCCAATAGTATCACCAGTGATTCTTCACTTTTATCCAGCAGGGCTTCCACAATTTTAAGATGAATACCGTCAGGGCCACTGTAATCATCTATCTTGAGATGTTGAAGCAAACGTGAGATAGCTCCTTTCTCAATAACCACACTACCCATAGACAAGTTGCAATTATGACAATTAACTGCCGATCTTTTACCGTCCTCCATGAGATGCACTTCACTAAAATATTCTGATAAAAATTCAGCTTTTGAAACATCATTTTTTGCTGATATCAATGGATTTTCCCGAATCAAAAGTGTTGGGCCTGTCACTCCTCTGAGTTCAACTCTCCATACGTGAGAACAACGTTTTCGGCCTATTTCCACAATTTCTCACCAATCGTTTTTCACATAAATGTCTAGCATTACTTGTTAACTCTTTGTAAGCTTCCCTGATCTTACAATAAATGGATCCGCACTGCGTATAGTCTATAGATATGAGCATGCACCAATGCTTCCTTCTACGTCTAAGAAATTCCTCAACCTGATTAGTTAACCATGGTGAACAGTTATTCGGTCTAAGTGCTACTAAGCATAAACATAATTAAACTAAGTGCATTCTAATAGCCGAAATACCAATATTCGGTTCAATGCAACACTAACAAACCAAATTTTATTCGATTGAGCCAGACTACGTTCTTCTGTATAACCTACGAAGCATTTTTCAGAGACCAAATTCTTCATAGTTAACGGAAGCATTGTTAACGACCCGAATACTATATGCGAACAATTCAGCAAGCACTTCTCGCAGTGCTACAAGACTAGAACTGAAAGCTCCATCATTTCATTTCCAATGCTAACATCCAGACATCTGTCGAAAATTGATTTCACACCCTCCAACATCAAGCAGGCCATAACTGCCCTGAAAAAGTCTTATGATGGTGGACCTGACGGGATACCTACATCATTTGTGAAATATGGAAGTAAAGAATTCCCACTATTTTGTTTGAAACTTTTCAATCTATCTATGGAATATGGGACCTATCCATCTGTATGGAAAACATCCCTTATCACCCCTAGATTCAAAACAGGACCACGTAGTGATATTATTAACTATAGGCCAATTAATTTGACATCCGTGCTCTCAAGAACCATGGAAAAAATCATCCATAAACAGCTACTATCATTTTTACTTTCAGCTAGTCTGATCAGCCCATCCCAACACGGGTTCATGACTAAACGCTCATGTTTCACATCGCACCTGGAGTTTTTTGATCAAATTACCCAGAGAAGATATGTTGGTCAGTCAGTGATAATTCTTTACTTCGATTTTAGTAAAGCTTTCGACAGTGTCCCACACAAACTTCTTCTTTTAAAACTCTCTTCATTTGGCATACAGAATCCTCTTTTATCTTGGCTCAAATCTATTTTAGAAGAACGTAGCCAAATCGTTCGCTTTGGATCTTGCTACTCTAAACCTGTAAATGTAACCAGTGGGGTTATACAAGGAAGTGTGGTTGGTCCATTGCTCTTTCTCCTTTTTATCAATGATGTGTGTTCCCTCTTTCAATATGGTAAGCCTTTCCTTTTTGCTGATGACCTGAAAGTAGTTTATTCATTCTCTTCTCCCACGAAAGAAAGCTATATTTCTGCGGTAATCCAGGAGGAAATAAACAAGTTGTACGAATGGACTATTTCGTGGAATATGCCCCTTAATGTTGACAAGAGCGGATTTATTCACATTGGTCACTGTCTTAACTTAAATCTGACTGTACAGACACATACACTCAAACCTCTCAACACTGTTCGTGACCTGGGTTTAAGATATAGCAACAGTCTGAACTTTTCTGAACACATTATATCTCAAGTATCCAAAGCTAGAAAGCTGATCGGATTGATAATGATAAACTTCAATAATATCGAATCGAGATTGTTACTATACAGAAAATGTATCTTACCCATTCTTGAATATGGTATTTTAGTTTACAGTAATTGTAGACATAATGATCTGATTAGAATTGAAGGTGTTCAAAGAAAGTTCACCAAAGCTGTTCTGGGGTATTCCGATAACAAAGACTATTACCAAAGATGTCAACAACTCAACTTAGAACCTCTTTGGATCAGACGTATCAAATTAAATCTTGTCTTTATCTACCGGCTCATTAACGGTATTTCCTACTCATCGGTATCTACCCCTTCATACCTTATAATATCATCCCACAATCTACGCAATAAGGAGAACATTCTAGCGATTCCAAGAACCCACACAAACTTACGTCAGAATTTTTTCCTTATTCGCTACTCAACCATGTGGAACAGACTGCCAGTGAACCTCCGTTGCAGTGAAACTACAACCCGGTTCAAAAGTCTCCTTGACGATTTTCTTTCCGAAAGTGGATTGTGTCACCTATTGAATATCAATGTATTCAATAATGATTTATACAAACAAGGTCCGTCATTTATTTAATTGCTTGAAAAGCAAAATAAAACCTTTAAATCTTTTCACGTCTATTTTGTTTTATTTCTCTTTATCTTAATATATGAAGTCTGATTATGTTCGTGTTACCGTTATTAATATCATTATTAGTTTTCCGACACATTAGATATTCTTTTTGTATCTTCTTATCCTTCTAAACATATTTAACTCCAGATTGTCCTTTGAAATCAATTTTGACTTTCATAGCATCAATCTTAATTATTTTTGCACAAATATTTATACTAATATCCGGTTTCACTCTGTATACTATTACATAAATCTAAATGTATTCATCCGAGTGCTTTAAAGGATTTTTAAAAAAAAAAATTTCTGGTTTCCTTCTGAGGTTGATATTCATTACACAATTATTATTCTTATCATGGATGAATCTTTTCACTAGGTGTTCACTTCTTTTCTTTCTCTTCTTTCCCTCTAAATAAATATTATTCTTAAGATTACGAAGTTTGTAATTAAAACAATAACTTGTGTTACACTTTAATTAACTTCTCAGATTCGTTTTATCTTCACTATGCATATATGATATTTTATTATCCTTTTCACGAAATTGTGACTTTCATAGCATCACTCTAAATTATAACTGCACAAACATTTATTTTAGTGTCATATCTTACTACAATGATAAATTATTTTTTCTTACTAATTTAACGATACACATAGTCGTTTATTCTTGTTCTGTGTTCATAAACACGCCTATTAGACTGTTTGCGTATTTCACGTCTCCTTTATTCCTATTCCCTTATTTTCTCCATGTCCTTCTTCAAACTCAATTCAATATTCTTCTCAATTACAAAGACCCCATTTATTATTATTAATATTCTACTATTATTATTCTCAATTTTTTATTTTTATTTTTATTATTATTATTTTTTTAAGTATGGCAAGTATAATGCTAACATTATTGGAAATTGTGTATTATTGCATTTTCTGAAGAAACCCGAAATGGTTTCTTCCCAACACTTATGTACCCATAAGATGTTTGTGAATAATAAACGTAGATAAACATAAATTCTGCGTTCTAACTAAACAGTTCTGATTCAAGAAAGAGCATAAATTATACCAAAAGTACAAAATGCCTCAAATGGTATGACCTGTGCTATACAGTCCAGGGTTTCCCCAGCACAATTTATGTATGAAGAAGAGACTGAAAGAAGAAT